CTGGTAGGTGTGCTGGGACATTTCTATGCTTTTTATATCTGCTCAAATGTCCATGAGGGGAGACTTAGGGGTCTATTCACTAAGCTGCCGTAGGCAGCCGAGTGACTAACCGGCCCGCAGCAAGTGAGCCGAACGCTCTTCGGCTATTCACTTCAGGCTGGTACGGCTGATTCCAGCCGTAAATCGGCTGAAATCAGCCGTACATCAGGTGGTCTGCATGTTCGGCCGACCTGAAGTGCAGAAGGAGTTTAACTCAGCCGATCCAACATCTGGATCGGCTGAGCCGAACCTCCGGCAGGCTACTCGCTGCTGTTCGGCCTATTCTCATAGATGCCGAACAGCAGTGAGTGAATAGCCGAATGCCGTCGAGCGGCATTTGGCTCGGCTGTTCTGCTCGGTACCTCTGTGGTATCGAGCAGAATAGAAAAGCAGTTTAAAAAGTAGTAAAACATAAAATAGAAAATTATTGGGCGGAGCTAGCAGTGACAGCTAAGTCTGCCCAACTGGTTTCTATTGGCTGGGCAGTTCTGCTGTCGCCAGAAGAAAAAAAATCACCATAGGAATGCATAGCTAGATTCCTATTGGCTATTCCACTTTGCAATAGCCAATAGCAAACTAGCTATTGCACCCGCCCTCTGTTGCTGTCAATCACCAGAGGGGGACCTGATGGAGAACTGCATGTCCCCCTCTGCTGATTGACAGCAGCAGTGGGCGGGTGCAATAGCCAGTTTGCTACTAGCTATTGCAAATTGAAATAGTCAATAGGAAACTAGCTTTGCATTCCTATGGTGATTTTTTTTTTATTCTGACGGCAGCCAACGGCTCTGATGTCAGAAGAAAAAAAAAACAAGCAGGGAAAGGTTTACTCTGCTCAGTCGAGCAGAGTGAACCTTTCTGGGAGAAAGTGTTTCTCTCCTGGGTGGCCGGGAGTCGTATTAGACTCCCAGAGCGTCCGGGAGAGTAATGACAGATGGCGTTCCTGGTTACATGGTAACCAGGAATGCCATCTGTCATTACACACTGAGAGTACGGAGAGGCCACTCTCAGTATGTAATGACAGCGTCCCTGGTTGGCTGGTAACAAGGGACGCTGATCTCTCTGAAAGTGGCCAGAGCCAGCCGTGAGATGACAGCTGGCTCAGCCCAGCTGTCAGAAGCAGGCTGTCGGCCGGCCAATGGCCGGCCATTCGGCAAGCTT